AGGGAGGCCTCATATAGAGGCTATGCTCTGATGACATGGGAAGAAGGGAGGTGACCTCCAGATTTTCGTTTGGGAGTAAATGTCATGACTTTCATAACAACTCACGTGGAAGAGGATTCTCCCAACCTGAGAACGGCTTTCATTTGGGGAGGCATCGCCACATGTATGATCAGACAATGATTCATTCAACCCACTCCAGAGATATTCTGTGGTGACAAGATGAGGAAAGGCGAGTTGCCCAGCACTAGCACAGCACATAACACAAAACACTAGTTGTTGCAATCATTAATAAGAGTTTTGGAGGTGAAAAACATTTCATATTTTTAACAGTGGTGCATTATTCAGGGTTTTCCAGAGAAGCAGAACCAATAGTATGCATGTATGGAGGGAGACAGAGAGAGAGAAAGGAATTCATTTTAAGGAATTGGCTCATGTGATTGTGCAGCTTGGAGTGTAAAATCTAATGGGAGAGGCTGGCAGCTGCAGCCCCAGGAACTAGTTGCAGTCCAAGGGCCATCAGGCTGGAGATCCAGAGAGGGTGGTGCGGTTGGAGTCAAAGGCAGGCTGCTGGCAGAGCTCCCTCTTGCTAGGGGCACTCTTTTGTACCAGCCAAGCCTTCACCTGATTGGATAAGGCCCACCATGTCATGGATGGCAATCTGCTTTGCTCAACATGTGCTACTTTAAATGTAAATTTGCCCCCCGAAAAAAACCCTCACAGGAGCATCCAGAGTGATGTTTGACCAAATATCTGAGCACCATGGCCCAGCAGCCACATTGACACATAAAGTGTAGGGCATGTAATTTTTACGTTCATTAGGAAGAAAGCAGGTGCCAAAGGCCAGTAAAGATAAAAAACAAGAACAAAAAACAAATTGAGTTTATTGTAATGCCCACCAAAAGAACCCAGAACAATGAAGAAATTCACCAACCAGGTTGCTAAGGAGGAAAATTCAAGAACTTTCATATATGAGAGAAATGACCTCCAATTTCATTCTTTTGCTTGTGGATATCCAATTTTACACCATTTATTGAAGAGACAGTCTTTTCCCCAGCATGTATTCTTGGTGCCCTTGGTGCAGATCTGTTGACTGTATATGCACTGGCTCAATTCTGGGCTTTCTGTTCTGCTCTGTTAGTCTATCTGTCTGTCTTTAAACCAGTACCACAGCGTTTTAATTACTGTAGCCTTGTGATATATTTTGAAATCAGAATTGTGAAGCCTCCAGCCTTGTTCTTTCTCAATATTATTGTGGTTATTCAATATTTTGTGTCTCTAGATAAATTTTAAGATTTTGATTTGATTTCTATAAAAAATGCCATTGGAATTTTGATGGTGATAGCATTAAATCTGTAGATCACATTCGGTAATATGAACATTTAAAGAATATTAAGTCTTTCAATTTATAAACACAGATTTTCTTTCTGTATTTTGTGTCATCTTTAATGTCTTTCATCAATGTTTTGTAGTTTGTTTGTTTGTTTTCCTTTTTGTCTTTTTTTGTGACCGGTAACGGGATCGCAACCCTCGGTGTCACGCCCATACTGCGACCGGCAACGGAATCGCAACCCTCGGTGTTGCACCCGCACTGCGCTCAACCAGGGAGCGGACCAGTCTCTATATGGGATCCGAACCCTTAGTGGGAGCGCTGTGCTCTACCGAGTGCACCACTGGGCCGGCCCAATGTTTTGTAGTTTTCAGAGAACAAGAGTTTCACCTTCTTGGTCAAGTTTATTTCTAAGGTGTTTTTTTTTTTCTTGATGCTACTACAGATGGAATGGTTTTCTTAATTTCCTTCTTGGATAGCTGTTGTTAGTTTATGGAAATGCAACTAATTTTGTGTGTTGATTTTGTATCCTGCAACTTTA